GCGACTTACTTGCCAGCACTGGAGTCTTGCTACAGGTAAGGAAAATGTCTCTTTAGAAGTATAGCTTCTAAGGTTTCTGATGTTAAGTGACTTTGTCAGCAACCATCTCTAAAAAATAACTTTAAATGTCTGTAAAAATAAATTTAAAAAAAAAAAAATCTGTAAAACCTTGCAGTGTTGTGAAAGATCTGACTTGTTGTACCTTCATTTGACAGGCACTGGTCTACAGGGAAATTAAGTGCCAAAGTCCAGCAGGCTGTTAGTGGTAGCAGAAAACCATTTGGCACGTGTCAGGAATAGATCTAGCAATCAGCTGTCTAACAGTATTTAATATCCCTTTCTGGGGAGAAAAATTAAGTATTCAGTGGTTAATACACTGTAATGTAAATATTCAGTGGCTAGCACATTGTATTGTTCTACTTGATATAACTAGAGAACTCTCCTAATAGATTTAAATCCAAAACTTTTCAAATTGTATAAATTTTTTTCTTAATATCTTAGTTTATTGTTGGTAATATGGAAGTCTGGTGAAAGGTTCCTCATCAGATTAAGTTTTAGTGTTGGAAAGGTTTTCCTCTATTCAGTGGTCTTTATTATGTCTGCTACTTATAGTGAATATATACGCAGCTGAAACAGTGAACTTAATAAAATGCAGCATATATGCCCAGTTTCTGCTCTGCTTGTTGGTAGAAGGCTGCCTTAAGTCTGGGTCTGGTTGGTGAAGTCAGTTTCTTAAGACTGTTAGAAGGAGTAATAAGGTCTGGGTGTCTACAGGCTTCGTGTGCCTGGCACTCAGAGCCAAGTACTTTCTACACAATTAAACTTCTCCTGGGTGGTTAATGATGGTATCTGCACTATTGTTAGAAAATAGCAAGAGGTAAAAAGTAAAGGAACCTACAGTTATTGAACCTCTGCATCTTGGGGCTAACTCTTCTGAAGTACTGCAGAGAGGATTTGAGCTGGTGGTTACGTTACTATGTGCCTACCTGTTCTTGAATACAAATGAAAGAAAACATTTAGAGCCACTGTTTTTATATACAGCACCAATTAAGGTGTTTTAAGTGAGAATTTTGAGTTGAAGTTTGATGGGACTCTGCTGCTTTGCCTTGCTGGTCACTTTCACTTGCTGGTACTCCTCCAGGCATCGCAAAATGAAAGGTGTGGGCGAGTATGGAAATCACAGCGGGGTTGGTTTGTTAATTTTAAGATTAAAGCCAGGTATGAATTGATATATCTCAGTGCTTCAAGGCTTTATGTAATTAATTTTTCCTTATTAGTAACTCCTGAATCCCAGTCTTGCATTGGCACTGCAGTGGAAGCGTGGTCCTTTGAATTTTTAGTTGCTGGAAAAAATGTATTTATTAAATATACATTGTCTTGTTGCCAGTGTTGTATCTGGACAATGTAAAGTATAAATATTGTGATTCTGGAAAACTTCCATGGGGTAGCAGGAAAGCAACGCTTCCTTGGGGACTAGCATTTAACTTGAGCACTAATGTGTGGCAGTGTCCAGAGATAAGCTATAGATGCTTTTGAGATAAGTAAAAAGATACGATCCTTGCTCTGAAAACTTTCAGTCTAAAGAGAAACAAAGAGCAAGGTAGAGATACAATAAAGATCAAAATACCAGGAACAACACAGGTTGCAGAATTGACTTTTTTTGTATGTTTGGTTTGGTTTTTTTCCCCCTTTGCTCTGCGTCAGAACACTTCCATATTATATTTTAACATCTTCTCAATTGTAGTTAGGATCAAATGGAGGATGGGCACAAGACTGCTTAAACTGTTGCTGCATAAATAATTTAATTGTTTTATGGAGTTTCAAGTCATGTGTATCCCTAAAAATTCTGCAGATACCATGAGCAGTGCCTAGTCTTACAGACGCTTGGAGTTACACCAAGTCCAGACCCAAACAATGACCTCTGTAATTGGGAACCTCTAGTCGGTGAGTCTTGTCTGAGTACAGTAGTGCCGATTTTTAAACAGACTAACACCGTAGTGCCGTGTTTTTAGGTACATAACTGTCTCTAGGCTTCAATGTTTCAACTTCTGATGCGTAATTGTAAGTGAATGTCAGTTCATTTAAGGCCTCAATCTCGCACTGCCTGTTTGTTTTGCACAACTTTGAGAATACCTGTAAGAAATATTTCCTATCTATGTATAGAAAAGGCAACAAAGGGGTGCTTTTAATGGTAATATTTATTGCTAGTACAAAGTGGGACACCTTTACCAACAGGAATGAGAACTAGAAAGTGAGACTGACCACTCTGTGCCAGACCTGCGCTGAGCCTGTCAAATGAAGAAAGGTCCATCACCATCTCTGTAACCATTCAGTCTGTCATTCGTTTTACTTGCCATATTGTATAAGAGGATAGGTTGTTACTTCTGCTGGTAGTCATTTGACCTAAACATTCCCCTTCGGTGCATGATGAGATCAGTTCCTAGCTTTTTGAAGACTCCTAGCATTGCTTTTCAATAGTATATGTTGGGTTTTGTTTTGTTTTTTTAAACTTGGACTTTATCTGTGGTTTCTAATGTCTGTGGAAATATGAAGAAGACTTCAATGTGGGAAGACTTGCAAGTTTCTATCTTCAGTAATATCAGTGTAGTTATTCCTTCTTTCCTCCATTCTTCTCCTTACCCTGCAAAAATAACATAAAGCAAGCCAAACAGCTTTGTCTCTTGTTTTCTTATGTTATAGTGATTTTTTAAATACAAGTATCACTACTGCTGTTCCCCAGGTAATGAGAGCCTATCAGGATTTATTTTCTAGCTGAAAACATAGGGTACAGTGCTTATAAAGAGGAAGGGCATGGGCAATGTGTTTTACCTGTGTTACATTTTCAGTGCCTGATTTTACATGGGTCTCTGAAAGAAGCAAGATGAAACTGTGTCTGACCAACTTACTACAAAGGGGCAATATTGCTGTTTCTGTCATGCTTATTACATGAGCATGTTGTTGCATACCATTTTTTTTTTTACAAAGCTGCTAGAACACAGT